GGGACACACAAAAGGGACGGGTGGAGGGAGCTTGTGGCCACTTCAGAAAGGGGATGGAGGTAAAGGAACCAGCAGTGACAGTCTCTGAGAGGACTGAGTTCCTGAGAGAAGGAAAGGCTGAAGCAAAGGCCCTGGGCAGGAAGCAACTGGCATGTTCTGAAACAGCAAGGAAACCAGAATGGCCAATGATTGAAGAGGAGGCTGCAAAAGAGGGGTTTGAGGATGCAGCCCATGGCCAGACCAGGACTTCTACACCCAGTGACGTGTCTGGACTTTGCTGTGGGGCAATGAGAAGTCATTCGTGTGAAGGATGGGCAGGATCCAAATTGCATTTTCAGAAGATCCCTCTGGCTGTCGGGAGGGGAGCAGATTGTAGGGCAGGGAGAGGAGGAGTGGGGAGATTGGTCAAGGGGCTGTGCAGTCAACCAGGGGAGAGAAGATGGTGGCGCCAGACAGGGTGGTGACACTGGAGGGGAGGCATCTGGATGGCTTGGATGCACGGCATCACTGGAAACTGGCCAGGGACCAGAGGGGCAGTGAGATGAGGACAGCTGCGGGCTGAGAGAAGCAGCTCTGGGCGAGGGGTCCGCAGTCCTGGCCTCGGGACCTCAGCCCCGTCTCTGCCCCACCGTACACTCCTGGGTCCCGCCAGCTACTGTGGGACTAATATTGCCTTTGAGGGATGAGAAGGGAAGCAGACAGAGTGCTGGGCAGGAAAGGGCTTTCTAAACTGGAGCCATGAAGCCACTAAAGAAACCACTCTGAAGACATTCCAGTGGAGAGAGAAGCAGACAGGGAGGCCCCGTGATCTGGCTGTCATTCTTGGGTCTGAACTTAATTGTGTTCCCTCAAAATCCAGATGTTGAGGCCCAGCTCCCCGTGTGATGGTACTTGGAGGTGACTGGGTTTCGATGAGGTCCTGAGGGTGGGGCCCCTGGGATGGGATCAGAGCTCTAGTGAGAAGAGGCACCAGAGAGGGGTACTTTCTCTCTCAGTCTCTCAATCTCTCAACGTCTCTCTCTTCCTTCCGTATGAGCTCACAGTGGGAAGGCAGCGTCTATAACCCCAAGAAAGAGCTCTCGCCAGAAACTGGTGGCACTTTGATCTTGGCCATCCAGCCTCCAGACCTGCGAGAACATCCATTTCTGTGGGTGAAGCCCCCAGCCCCCCGCTGCTGTCTTGTCCCGGCGGCCGGCCAGGCTGACTGATGTGCCCTCGGAGTTAGGGCTCTGGAGGGCAAGAAAAGGGGGACAGGACCCCGTGGCACTCGGAGCGCGCAGGACCAGGCAGGGCTCGGCGCCCTGAAATCGTGCCTGTGGGATGCCTACACTAATTTCACGCTGTCTTATAACAGCAATTAGCATCGACCCTGGAGGAAGAATGTTATGTTCAAGGTCCTTGAATTCGACTTTTAAACTAGTAATACATGCATGTCACTTAAGAAGTCAAAGTGTACCACACAGCTTATACACTGCTCTCCACGCCTCCCGGCCCCTGGCTCCCACCGCCTCCCTCCGCACCCGCCACTCGGGTATTTCCTCTCTTATTTAACAAATAAATATGGGTATACTGCTGTTTCTTGATTTATCTGTTTTTAAATGTATTTCTTTTTTAATGGAGGTACTGGGGATTGAGCCCAGGACCTTATGCGTGCTAAGCCTGCTCTCTACCACTGAGCTCTACCCAGCCCCCCATTTTATCCATTTTAAATATTATTTCTTCAAAACAGACTTCTTTTGTATAGCGCAGGGAACCATATTCAATATCTTGTAGTAACCTTTAATGAAAAAGAATATGAAAGCGAATATATGTATATACATGCATGACTGGACGTTATGCTGTACACCAGAGACTGACACATTG